TCTCATAATAAAATGTGTGTTTTTGTTAAATGTCATAGAAAAACTCATTGCAATCACAACAATTTCACTCAAAACATTTAATGCTAAATACATTATGAATTCAGTAGCTACTCTGTCATGGTAAGACCAATAAACCCAAAAATAAAATAATTGATCTTTAGTTGTCACAAAATATCGGTAACAACTCACAAAACTTTAAATTGGAAATTTCTCCATGTCGAAGCTGCTACACTTTAAGTTGGTCTGGTTGGTAATGTAAACAACTCGTTAATTCTTATCTTTGAAAACAATTTTCCTTTTTGTTTTTCTGAAATTTTGTACAGTTGATATGCTAATGCTGACAAATACTTGGCGGGGTCAGATCATTGACCATTTTTGGTTGATATTTTTGTAGTATAATTATTTGTTTGAGAAAACTATTGCTTCGCAAGTAACAGATCTTGAGGATTTTAGTACCAAGCAATAAGAACAATCGCTTTTCAAGACCTGTATCCTAAGAAACTCCCACATTTAAGGGCGTGCTTATTATACCTTAAAATAATAATTACACAAAATTACTAAAGATATGACACAAAATGTACAGTGTACACATAATACTGCACCCACATACTTAACAAATATCACAAAATGTAAGCTATTCAAAATACTAAACAAAAACGATTTACTGGAAAAAGATTTAACCATCGCTTTGGATTTAAAATACAAAGCTCCTAGTAAAGCTTACATTTCTCCTTTGAAGGACCGGAATGCGATGACAGTGCTTGTAAAGAAAGCTATCACAGAGTGCAAATAAATCCAACGTCACTCAAATGGTAACATTTCACGGCAATAGAGATATTTTTTTATACAGAGAATGAGCGAACAGGCAACATACACAACACCACCGCACTTGTCAGGGGGGCTTAAGACCGCCTCTGAAACTAACAACCATATCTTAATGCATCTTAATTGGAATACATAAATACTCAGATAAAACGGAAAAAGTAGCATTAGTGTGAACATAGAAAAAGCTGACACACCTATGTAGTTCAAAATGTGTTCATCCCCTTGTCCAGTACTTAAACTGTTAAAAAAAACCCATAGAACTTCCCTCCAGCTTCATGGTGGTACCCGAAAACATTTACGAAGATTACATATCATTGCTGTTGCAAAAGTGGATGTAAACTGTTGCAATTGTCAATGCAAGCTAGTAAATATATACAGGACTCACAAAGAGCCTATTTTCTATGACTACTGTATGTCCTAATAAATTGTTACCGCAGATCTGTGAGAATTCCTAGCAATCCACGGGATTGCGTTTCAGATAAAACAAGACAAATTGCTATCACTTTGATTAAAATTTAAGACCAGAAAAAGTGGTCCATAACCCCAACGGAAGAATACATGCCGCTTTAACCAGATGCGAAGAAATGATAAGTTCAGGGAGATAGATTCGCACACAATTACAAAATTACAAAAAAACACAAAACGAATAAATGTATAAGTAACCATAATACACAAATTATCTGGGTTTCAAACTCAGTAGGTAAATACAATTCCAATTTGTGGTCTCCATTCGAACTTTTCTTGAATGTCCTTTAAAAACGTATCAGCAAAATCAGTCACGGTTAAATATGTGTCGTTCCCTGTCGTTCTTCAAATACGTTTACGAACGGAACGAAAAAGAAATATACGTAAGGGAATCGCATAGAAATACAATTTTATTTCTACGGGATTCCCTGTATAGTCTAAAGCGAGATCCCGGACGTAGTCAGCTGTCATTAACTTTTCCTTGAAAGCCAGATAGAGCACCCCCACCCGTTACTGATATTTGCCACCCTTTTAGTTAGTTAGTTTTCCACGCAGCAGAAATACTGACCAAAAAGAATACCAGTGAAACGCATTAATTCCTTTTTATATACTGACATTTTGACATTCTAGTAGTATAGATATTGAACAAAAACTGTATGGCATAGTTGGCAAATTGATCAATAATTTCTTCTGTAAAGAATTGTAACGTTTTAACGGACAAAAACAATCAGTACATGTCTGAGAGGAAATTTCCCAACAGTTCGATCTTGACTTGACTTGACTAACCACGAGGCCACTATTGGCCCAAGGTTTTAGACCCGGCCGGGGCCGGAGCCTTCTCGTGAAGTCACTGTTGTCACCCTTCAGCTGTCGGCGGTGTTCTCTCCGTACGCTTTGATTATGTCCAGCACCGACGAGTACCCGCCCGCCACGATGGACATGATCGACAGGAGGATGAGAGCGCCGTTCTTGAGCGCCAGGTACAAGTTGGTCCCGCTGCACCCGCGGCCCTCCTCCCAGCGGGTGGCCAGCTCCACCACGGCGGGGATGAAGAGCCCCAGCGTGGAGAAGAAGAGCGCCCCGATGAGTCCGATGATTGGTCCCAGGTTGGGCACGGCCAGCGCGAGCACGAGGGTGCCCAGCACCATGACCACGCGCATGGCCACGTCAGCAAACGCGTGCCACGAGGTGCGCACGCGTGGCGAGATGACAGCCCACATGATACCGATGGCGACGTACATCTGCAGTGGGTACGTGAACAGGATGGCAACGGCCAGAAGCAGCTTTACGATCTGGGCGGGGCTGTGGGCAGGGGATGGGGTTAACACGAGTGCATCAGCCACCTGTACGGAGACAATAAGTACTGCGTTTCCTTGAACGGGTAGCCCACAACTAATGTGTTGGTATTTGTTTTACCCGCACCAATAGATATCTACTTACATTTCCCCGCCGGGAAGATTCAGGGTAATGCTACCATTCTCGACCAAGGGGCCGTAGCGCAGGTAGCCGAACAGACCCATGAGCGCGAAGAGGGTTACGACCACCACCATGGCGATGGTGAGCACGCCGTTCCAGCCGATCAGCCTCTTGGGGTTGCGCATCGTGTTCTCCACGGGCATCACCTGCACCATCGAACACAGGATAAGTAATCAAAGAAAACGATCACACCGGTTAAGTTACGGCATCGTAGGAGAAATCTAAATGACGAAAATCAAACATGAAATACACTAGTAGCCCATATTTAAGTAAACACCCAAACAATGCGTCCAGCGAGGGGCCCCCCACTTCGATACTCGTGTGTACAAGCAAAAAAATAACTTGTGCCTAGTCTCCAATACCCGCATCCACTCGACAATACTCGTGCATTCTCGCAATTATTTGCGCCTCCTCGCTAATAGACCATTTCAGGGTTTGGTGATTAGAAGAAGAAAAGAATAACAAACCGGAAAAGCACTGCCTTCTAATCGCCCCCCACCCTCCGTCTCTCTTCACCCCTCGCCCAACTGTTTCCTGTTTTGGTCATTCTTTTCTTCTTCTTGTCACCGCGACTGAAATGGTCTATTCTCGCCAATACTCGCCCCTACTCGCAAATACTCGCGTCTACTCGTCATCACTCGTTCACATACGCGTCGATACAGTTTTCAACAGTCGAATGTATCCAACTGTCAGTTTAGCACCTCCGTGATCGGGTTGAGCACTCGATTTATCAGTGTATAGGCCAAGGCCTACCAACCCATGTATTGACCGGTTTTGGTCTTGCTTCCCTCCAAACTATTTTAATTTCTTTTTTTAGGATACATTCAATTTAAAAGTCATATTAAACCAAAATAGTCATTTACTTAGACTGCTTACCGTGCCGATGCCTTCCATGGCAAACAAAACAGTGGCGAAGAAAAGGGGTAGCCCTTTGAGGCTGGTGTTAAAGTTGAGTTTCTCAGCCACTGGGTCACGGATGTCGTCGAACAGGTAGTAAAGGGTGATGGAGAAGCCCACCACAATGCACATGTTGGCCACCATGGAGAAGGGGACGAGTTGCTTGAGCTTGCGTATGAGTGAGAGGGGTATGAGCAGCACGACGAGTAGCGCGATGAACACGCGCGTGTAGGCAATCTCAGGGATGTCCGGCTTGCCCACCCACTGGTCCATGAGCTGCGACAGGAAGAAAATCGAGAGGTGACCAAGGGATCAAGACAGACACGTTACGTACTGTGACAAATAGTTCTAGGTTTTACGAGAAAACTTTCTATGAACGGTGTCGTAACTCTAAAGTTTAAAACGATGTCAAATTACAAGAACTACGTACGTACTCGCTTGGAATTCGACACCCGAGAAGAACAAACGCTTACCCCCGCAGACTAGTCTGCGGGGGTAAGAGTTTGTTCTTCTCGGGTACATGCAAACAAAACCGCTTACCTCTGCGATGTGAAAAAAAAACCGCCCCTAGGACAAGCAAACAAAACCGCTCACCTCTAGGACAAGCAAACAAAAACACGTAAATGACTTTCTAACACATTTTGAGATATGGTTGTCATTTGAAAGAGAATTTTTCGGGGGTAGTTTTGATACTAATATCTCAAAATAAGTAAAAATTGCATTTAAGCGGTTTTGTTTGCAGTCTAAGG